TGTTTACAGTTAGGGTTATATTTATGGATAAGGCTAGGTTTAGTTTTATGGATAGGGTTAGGGTGGAGTTTGGTTTAGATTAAGATTTAGATTTATGATTAGGTTTAGGGTTAGGGTTTGTTTTAGAGTTAGGGTGTTGGTTAGGGTTAGTGTTAAGATTAGGTTTGAAGTTAGGGTTAGGGTTAAATTTTTGTTTAGTATTAGGGTTATTGTTAAGGTTACAGTTAAGTATAGAGTAAGGGTTAATTTGAAGTTAGGTTTATTGTTAGGTTTAGAGTTAAAGTTTAGTTTAGGTTTAGTGTTAGTGTTAGGGTTAGTGTTAGGGTTAGGTTAATGGTTAGTGTTAGGGTCAGGGTTAAACTGAGTTTTAGGGTTAGGGTTAGGTTTAGGATTTTGGTTAGAGTTAGGTTTAGGGTTAAGTTTAGGGTTAATGTTAGTGTTAGGATTAGGTTTAGGTTTAGGTTTAGTGTTAGGTTAGAGTTTCGGTTAGAGTTAGGGTTAGTGTCAGGGTTAGGGTTAGGCTTATGTTGAGGATTAGGTTTATGGTTAGGGTTAGTGTTAGCATTAGTGTTAGGGTTAGTGTTAGAGTTAGTGTTACAGTTAGTGTTAGGATTATGGTTAGGGTTAGGTTTAGTGTTAGGTTTAGGTTTGGGGTAAGATTCAGGGTTAGTGTTATGGTTAGTGTTAGTGTTATATTTATGTTTAGGGTGAGGATTCGGCTCAGGTTTAGGCTTACAGTTAGGGTAAGTGTAAGTTTTAGGGTTAGTGTTATGGTTAGGTTTAATGCTAGGGTTAGAATTATGATTAGAATTAAGGTTGGGCTTAATTTTAAAAACAGGGTTAGTGTTGGTGTTTGGGTTAGTGTTAGGGTTAGGTTTAAACTTCAAGTCAGGATTGCAGTTAGAATTAGGGTTAGAGTTTCGGGTTAGGTTTAGGGTTAGTGTTAGGTTTAGTCTTAGGGTTACAGTTAGGGTTAAGGTTAGGATTAGATTTTGGTTTAGGGTTGTGTTAAGGTTAGGGATATTATTAGGTTTAGGTTTAGGTTAGGGTTAGGGTTAGAAGTAGGGTAAGGACTAGGTTTAGGTTTAGGGATAGGATTAGTTTTAGTGTTAGGGTTGGTGTTAGGCTTAGAATTATGTTTAGTGTTAGCATTAGGTTAGTGTTAGAATTAGGGTTAGTTTTAGGGTTAGAATTACTTTTAGTAAAAGTGTTAGGCTTAAAGTTAGGGTTAAGATTAGGGTTAGTGTTAGATATATGGTTAGGCTTAGGGTTTGGTTTTGTGTTACATTTAGGGTTTGGCTTAGGTTTAGTTTTAGTGTTAGGGTTAGTGTAATAGTTAGGGTTAGGTTTAGTGTTAGGTTTAGGGTTAAGGGTAGGTTTAGGGTTAGGTTAGGTTTAGGATATGCATTAGGGTTAGGTTTAGCATTAGGGTTAGTGTTCTGTGTAGGATTATGGTTTCACTTAGTGTTAGGTTTAGGATTAGGATTAGGTCTAGGGTTTGGTTTAGTGTTAGGGTAAGGTTTTAGATAGGTTTACTGTTAGGGTTAGCGTTAGGTTTAGGGTTACTGATAGTGTTATGGCTAGGGTTAGAGTTAGGGTTAGGTTAAGTGTTAGGTTTATGGTTATTGTTAGGTTGAGGATTAGGTTAGTTTTAGGGTTTCTGTTAGGGTTAGGGTTAGGATGAGTGTTATGGATAGGTTTAGGGTTAGGAATAGGGCTTGGCTTATGATTAGATTTATGTTTAGTGTTTGTATTAGTTTTAGGGTTAAGGTTAGGTTTAGGGTTAGTTTTAGGGTTAAGGTTAAGGTTAGTGTTAGGGTTAGCGATATCACCAGGCTTTGGATTTTAAAACTGTAAAGCATTTAAAGAAGCTGTAGCAGCCTATGGTCCTCAAGCCCATTTAACTCTAAGCGTGGTTGAATCCATTGCAATTTTAAACTTGACACCATCAGATTGGGCTAGCATGTGCAAAGCTGTGCTAAATGGAGGACAATATCTGTTATGGAAAGCTACTAATCAGGAATTGTGTGTGGAGATGGCCAAGCAAAATGCAGCAGCCTGGTATCCACAGAGAAATCTATATATGTTGCTAGGAGAGGGACCTTAGGAGGGTCAGCAGCAACAAGCTGGATATGATCCTGCTATATACTTACAAATCCCTTCATCTGCGGTTAAGGCATGGAAGACTTTACAAGGTCATGGAGATTTACAAGGTCAATTATCTAAGGTAATACAAGGAGCTAATGAACCTTATGCTGAGTTTGTGTATAGGCTTATGCAAACAGCAAGCAGAGTCTTTGGGGTTGTAGAACAAGCAATGCCATTAATAAAAAAAACAAAAAAACAAAAACTAGCTTATGAACAAGCCAATAGTTTCTGTAGGGAGGCTATTCGAACTTGGAAATATAAAGACTTAAATGCATACATTAAATTGAGTAGAGATATTAATGAACCAGTGGTACAGGGGCAAGTCTTGACAGCTGCAGTAACCCAAGGAGTACAACGGGCTTTAGGTGTCAGGCCAAAAACATGTATAATTGTGGTCAATCAGGAAATTTTAAAAGGAGTTGCCCCATAGGATGAGTGTTTAAAACAAGTAGCAAAACTGGTGATGATCAAAAAAGAAAAAAAATACCAGGTGTTTCCTCACGATGTTGTAGAGGAAAACATTGGGCTAGTGAATGCCATTCTCAGACTGTTGTAGAGGGTACTCCATTGCCAAAAAATGGACAGAGGGGCCTGATGCCCCAGGGCCCACAACTACAAATATATGGGGCATTGAAGGAACCCAGCAACACCGTCAGGGTAGCACCCAGGACACATTATCCATTAACTCTCTTATCAGAAAAAACAGAGGGAGTGCAGGATTGGACATCTTCACCTCCGCCAGAGCAGTACTAACTCCAGAGATGGGAGTTTGAATCATTCCCCCAGGGTTAAAAGGACCTCTTCCCCCAGGAACAGTAGGCTTGTTATTAGGATGCAGTTCTTCTACTCTAAAAGGACTTATGATAAGTCCTGAGGTAATTGATCCCGATTTTGAAGCTGAGATAAAAATTATTGCTAGTTCTCCAAGGGGTCTCTCAGTAATTTCACTAGGAGAAAGGATTGCACAGTTATTAATACTACCCAATTTACATGATACATTTTCCAGTCATACTATAGAAAGAGGTCCCAAAGTATTTGGCTCCACAGGTATAGATTGGGCTATGCTTTCTTTAAATTTAAATTCTTGCCCTATGTTAAAGTTAACCATTCAAGGACATGATTTCAATGGACTGCTAGACACAGGAGCAGATCTTAGCATCATCTCTCGTCAAGAATTGCCAAAAGATTGGCCTTTACAACAAGCCACTCAAATGCTTTGAGGCCTAGGAGTGGCAACTAATCCCCATAGTAGTGCAATGGTATTAAAATGGAAGGATAATGAACGATGTGAAGGAACTATACAGCCATATGTATTGGATCATCTTCCTATAAATTTATGGGGATGAGATGTTCTAGGTCAATTGGGATTAACATTAACAAATAACATTCCACATATGAATCCAAATGTGCCCACTATTATGGCTGGAGAAGGTGTTAAGAAAGGAAAAGGATTATGAGAACAAGGACAAGGTGCAGTGGCACCAATACAAATAGATCAAAAAACAGATAGACATGGACTGGGTTTTTGGGAGGGGTCACTGAGACAATAAAAATTACTTGGAAATCAGAAAGGCCAGTAGGGGTTCCTCAGTGGCCCCTGACAAAAGAAAACATACAAGCAGCCCATGACCTAGTCAATCAACAATTAGCAGAAGGACACATACAACCTTCTGTATCTCCCCATAATACTCCCATTTTTGTTAGTAAAAAGAAATCTGGCAAATGGAGACTATTACAAGATTTAAGAGCTATTAATAAAGGAATGGTTATCATGGGTCTGTTCAATTGGGGATTCCTCAATTTTCTGCTTTGCCAAAAACCTGGTATGTTTTAGCTATAGATATTAAAGATTGTTTTTAATCCATTACAATTCATCCAGAGGATAGTCCACGTTTTGCATTTAGTGTCCCTTTGCTGAAACATGAAGGTCCTGATCAGAGATATGAATGGAAAGTACTCCCTAAAGGGATGGCTAATAGTCCTACTATGTGTCAAGTTTATGTTGACAAAGCAATCCAGCCACTTAGAAATCAAAATCCTGAACTACAAGTATTTCATTTTATGGACGATGTATTATTAGCACACAAAGATAAAAATACTTTGCTAGAATGCTATGCTACATTTACAAACTTATTAAAAATTATAATCTAGAGATAGCAATAGATGAAATACAATTATATTTTCCAATTAATTATTTAGGAGTTCTATTATCCTCGACCATGGTCCACCCACCAAAAATTCAAATACGAGTAGATCAACTTAAAACACTTAATGACTTTTAAAAACTGTTCAGAGACATAAATTGGATAAGGCCTTATCTAGGCATACCAAGAGGAAAGTTGGGACCTTTATTTGATATCTTAAAAGGTCTATCGGATCCAAATTTACCCCGCATGTTAACACCTGAAGCGAGAAAAACATTAAAACTCATTGAAACATATATGAAAAATATGCATCTGGATAGAATTGATATAAGTTTGCCTCTGTTATTTATTGTATTACCCACGAAAATATTCCTACAGGAGTACTTTGGCAAGAAGGTCCTTTATTATGGATACATTTATCTTATTCTCCTAACACTATTCTTACTAGGTATCCTGAGGCTGTGGGGCAATTAATACTCAAAGGAATAAAAACAGCAAAGGGAGTGTTTGGAATTTCTCCTAATAAAATTATTACTCCATATACTATGGATCAAATTGATGTGGTAGCTAATGAGTTAAATACTTGGGCAATAATCATGTGAAAATCTATTTGTTCATTTGAAAACCACTTACCACCTAATCCTTTGTTGTCTTTTTGGTCCTCACATCCTGTATTTTTTCCAAAAATGACAAGAAAAACACCTATCATGAATGCTCCAATAATATTTACTGATGGGTCATATAATGGTACAGCAGCAGTAGTTACCTCTGCTCAAGCTTTTACATTTTTACTACTGAAACAATCAGCTCAAAAGGTAGAGCTTAATGCAGTATTACAAGCTTTTGTGATGTTTAAAGATTCTGTATTTAATTTAGTTTCTGACAGTCAATATATAGTTAATGCTATAATATCCCTTGAATATGCTGGTAGGATTTCCCATTCCTCTACTGTTTTCTGCCGCAGTCTGGCTGGGCACAAATGCTGCAGTCTGGCTGGGCACACAATTACGAGCCACCACACAGCTTGTAGATTCAAACAGCAACTCTTTATTCCCGATCTCACACCAGCCGTCTACAATCACGTTCTGGGGAAATCCACGTTCTCTGCCCAAATCCACATCCACTGGGCTTCTGTCTCCCAAAAAATACTGTCTGAATCCCGTGAGAACTCAAGGGGAACTCAGGCAGCAGGATATGCCCTATTCCCAGCAGGAATAATCTTAAACCTTAAACCTGGAACCTAAACTGGGAACGCCCTAAACCTGATTATCTTAAACCGGGAACACCCTAATCCGCCCTGGTCCTTGAGCAAGGTCACCTACATTCAATGTCACTGCAAAATGTCAGCAACATGGGGTACGCTGGCAAGGAAATTGTCATACCTACTTGGCTAATGGCTCCCAGCAGTTTTCTCTGTGTTTTTCACTATACAAAGTCTAATTTGGGACAGAAAAGATCCATTTTTCATAGGATATATCAGGGCACATATAGGATTGCCTGGAGCCCTTAGTTCAGGCAATGATTTAGCAGATAAAACTACACATGACATATATGTTTTTTTCAATACTAGAAGCAGCAACAAATTTTCATAAATCCTTCCATGTCAATGCTAGTACTTTACAAAAGCATTTTAAAGTAACTAAGGAACAAGCTAGACAAATAGTAAAACAATGTCAAAATTGTGTGACATTTTTACCACAAGTTAATCTTGGAATCAATCCGAGAGGACTGATACCTAATCATATATGGCAAATGGATGTCACACATTTGCCAGAATTTGGAAAATTAAAAGATTTGCATGTTAAATTTGATACTTCTTCTGGATATTTGATGGGCTCCCTTCATGGTGGAGAAAAATCTAAAGATATTATATCTCATTGTTTACAAAACTTTACCACTGTGGGCATTCCAAAACAGTTAAAAACAGATAATGGCCCTCTCTATACTTCTACTTCTTTTAAGCAATTTTGCTCATCATTTGGCATTACTCATATAACAGGAATTCCGTATAATCCACAGGGACAAGGTATAGTTGAAAGAGCTCAACAAACTATTAAAATGTACTTACTAAAACAAAAAGAAGGATTTGGGAAAGGGTATATATCCCCCAAAGATAAACTTAACATAACCATTTTTACTTTAAATTTTTTCAATTTGGATTTATCAGGGCTCAGTGATGCAGAAAGGCACATGTGTCCAAAAAATGTACATAAGCCCAAGGTACTTTGGCAAGATATTCTGACTGGACAATGGAAAGGTCCTGACCCAGTGATTGTCTGGAGCCGGGGGTCTCTATGTGTGTTTCCACAGGAAGAACAGCAGCCTATTTGGATTCCAGAGAGACTAACTAAAGAGATTTCTACAAACCAAAAAGACGATGATTTGGCTCATATCCATAACAGCTGATATCCAGAACTCCAGTTTAGCTATCCTTACTTCTGTGACAATGGTTCTCCCACACCTGGAGGCTAATGAATAATGAGCACCATTGAGGCCTATTTCAAATATTAAAAAAAATCTTGAGGCTTACTGGTGAGAATACCATCAAACCCATATGCAAGTTACAGGAAGAAGGATGAAATATCAAAAGAAGAGTCAAACCCAGGTGGTAGCCAGAATGCTTTTTTCAATATCTATTTTATTATGCCCTCTCCCACTTCTTGGAGTTCTATTTTATTGTTTGAGCTTATAATTTTGATCCTACAGATCTAGGTTAATGTTTTTCTGATCAGTTCTATTTTTTGATCAACTGTGGAGTTTTTAAAAATTTCAATGGAGTATTCACCTGTGAAAAGCTATAAGGCCTTTACTATTGTGTTATGTGTGCACACTTGTGTTATGTGTTGTATGTCTGTAAATGTGTATGTCCATATGTCATACACATGATATGAAAATTGGCAGATATATGAAGAGTGCTCATGAAAAATTTAAAAAATGGACCCAAATCTCTTTTATTCACATGATTTAAGCAGTTCAATTTAAATTGTGTAAACAGATGAAAGTAAAGATGTCTTTAAATTTAAGCTTACAAGTTTTTCTAGGTGTCCCAAAAAACTAATAAAATGTTGATGTCTATGAAATAATCTACCTAAATTCAGAATTTACAATGATTGTTTTAAAATGTGAACAAAACTCCTGTTTGTTTACTTTCACCTTTCCTTTTCATTATATCTAATAATTTCCTTTTCATTATATCTAATAATTTCATTATATCTGTTCAGGATAATGTACTAAATTGCTGGAATGCTACACAATTTTCTTTAGCCATCATTGCCAGAATTCCTATCTTCATCCCAGTGCCAGTTAAGACAAAAATAGAAGAATTTCCAGTATTACTGAAAACCAAACGAGACTTTGGAATTACAGTTACCATCATCACAGCTGTTGCTGTTTCTGCTGCTGCTGCTGCAGCTTCTTCGATAGCTATCACAGAAACTGTACAAACTGCTGCATCAATAAATAATGTAACTCAACAATAGTGCAAGCTTTACAAACACAAAACATTATTAATTATCATCTTAGAAATGAAATTCTGATGCTCAACCAAAGTGTCGATTTACTTCAAGAAGAAATAGACATATTAATGGATTCCTCTGCTTTAAGCTGCTTACAGAACTTACCTGGACTGTGTATCACTTCTATGCATTATGATAATATTTCTCGAGCAGCAGATCTTTCCAGACAACTAGAAGCCATGCTTAATGGCACATGGAATATAAAGTTTCAAAATTTAACTAATCTATTGATACAACAAATTGTAACACTTAATAGTACCAGGGTGTCTTTGCCAATGGTATCATCAGTGGTACAATTTTTCCAAGGGTTTCTCACTTGGAGCTGTCAATGGCTTGGAATTGTGGCATTTTTGTATTCTCCTCATTCTGCTTGTGGCAGGTTGTTTATGGTGTTTGTGTAAATTACACAGACAACAAATAGAACCCACTATGGTCATTAAACAGGCGATGATGGCCCTAGAAACAGGACAAGATCCACAAGTATGGCTAAATATATTGGGCCGGTAGTCAAAGACTGGAAAGATCCAATTACAATGGTACCAACCTAAGCCAGGAGGCTGAAAATTTGAGGTTAGACCATCCATTGACGGGAAAGGACCATATGTAGTATTGGACTACCTAAGACAGGCACGATCCCTAAACCACATACTTGTTGTTTAATAAAACAAAAAGGGGGAGATGTTGGAGGCCACAATCTAGTCAAGATGACACCTGACAGTTTGCCAGGGGGAGTGGTTTGTGAGGCAAAACCACTGAGCCATCAAGATGATGGGGACTCCTTATTGGCTGATTGCTGTATCTGTAGGGGAGCAATGCTATGATTGGATGATGCTGATTGAGTCAAGCTGTATGTAATCAGTTAGATATATATACCTCTGCTGTTCCTCAATAAAGCAGTACCCGCTTCAACCTTCACAGTTGCTTGTCACCTCTCGGTTTTTTGCACAGCTGGACTGGGGCAATTATTGTTAGAATAAGTTTTAGGGTTAGGGTTAGGGACAGGGTTAGTGTTAGGGTTAGGGTTAGCATTATGGTTTGTTGTTAGGGTTAGGGTGAGGGTTGGGTTTAGTGTTAAGTTTAGGGTTAGTGTTAGGGTAAGAGTTAAGGTTAGTGTTAGGGTTATGGTTAGGTTTAGGGTTAGGGTTAGTTTAGGGATAGGGTAAGGGTTTATGTTAGGTTTAGGTTTAGGCTTAGGTTTAAGGATAGGGTTACATTTAGGATTAAGTTTATGATTAGGTTTCCATTTAGGGCTGCTTTAGGGTTAGGGTTAGGGTTAGTTATAGAGTTAGGGTTAGGGTAGTGGATATGTTTAGTATTAGTGTATTAGTGTTAGGGTTAGTGTTTTGGTTAGGGTTAGAGTTTGCTTGAACAGAAGGGTTAGTGTCAGGATTAGTGTTACAGTTATAAATAGGATTAGGCTTAGGTTTAGGGTTAGGGTTAGTGTATGGTGTAGTTTTAGGGTTAGGGTTATGTTTAGTGTCAGTGTTAGGGTTAGGGTTAGGGTTAAGGTTAGGTTTAGTATTAGGTTTAGGATTAGCATTAGGGTTAGTGTTAGAGTTAGGGTTAGGGTTAAGGCGAGGGTTACTTTTATGCGAGGGTGTGGGTTATGTTTAGGATTAGGATTAGGGTTAAAGTTAAGTTTAGGTTTAGGGTTAGGTTTATGGTTAGGGTTAGGGTTATGATTAGGGTTAGGTTTAGTGTTAGTGTTAGGATTAGGGTTAGTGTTAAGATTAGTATTAGGATTAGGGTTAGGGTTAGGGATAGGGTTAGGGTTACCTTAAGTTTTAGGGTTAGTGTTAAGTTTAGGGTTAGTCTTAGGTTTAGGTTTATGTTTAGGGTTAGTGTTGAGGCTTAGTGTTAAAAAAGGGTGAGTGTTGGGTTTGGGGTTTGTGTTAGGGTTAGGTTTAAATTTCAAGTTGGAATTGACATTAGGATTAGGGTTACATTAGATTTAGGTTTACGGTTATGGTTAGTGTTATGTTTTGGTGTAGATTTAATGGTAGTGTTAGGGATAGTGTTAGGGTTAGTGTTTGGGTAGGCTTAGTATTAGGGTAAGGTTTAAAGTTAGGGTTAGGGGTAGGATTAGGGTTGGGGTTAGATTCAAGGTTAGGCTTAGGGTTAGATTTAGTATTAGTTTTAGGTTTAGTGTTAAGGTTAGGGTAAGTTTTAGGGTTAAAATTAGGTTTAGTGTTAGGTATAGGGATAGTGTTAGGGTTAGGGGTAGTGTGAGAGTTAGGGTTAGATTTAGTGTTAGGGTTAGTTTTAGGGTTAGGTTTAAGGTTAGTGTTAGTGTAAGGGTTAGAGATAGGGTTAGGGTTAGGTTTAAGGTTAGGGTTAGTGTTAGTGTTAGGGTTGAGGTTAGGGTTAAGGTAAGGGTTAGTTGTAGGGTTAGGGTTAGGTTTAGGGTTAGTGTTATTGTTAGTGTTAGCATTAGTGTTATTGTTAGGGTTTCTTTTAGGTTTAGGTTTAGGGTTAAGTTTTGATACAGTCTAAATGTTATGGTTAGGGTTACACTTAGTAATAGGATTAGGGTTAGGGTTAGAAATAGGTTATTTTTAGTGTTAAGTTTATGGTTAGGGTAAGTGTTAGGGTTAGGGTTAGTGATAGGGTTTGGGTTAGAATTGGCTTAGTGTAAAGTTTGGGCTTAGCATTAGGGTTAGGGTTAGTTTTAGGGTTAACGTTAAGTTTAGGTTAGTGTTAGGCTTAGAGTTAGTTTTAGCATTAGAGTTAGGATTCGGGATAGGATTATGTTTTATGTTAGGTTATAGTTACGGTTAGAGTTAGGTTTAGTATCAGGGTTAGGTTTAGGGTTAGGTTAGGTTTAGTGTTAGGGTTAGTGTTATACTTAGGGTAAGTTTTAGTGTTATTGTTAGGGTTATGAGTAAGGTTAGGGTTAGGGTAGGGTTAGGATTTTGTTAGGGTTAAGTTTAGCAATAGGGTTAGTGTTTTGTAGAGGTTTAAGGTTACAGTTAGTGTTACAATTAGGATTAGGGATAGGGTTAGTGTTAGTGTTATGGCTAGGGTTAGAGATAGGATTAGGTTTAGTGTTATGTTTGGGGTTATGGTTAGGGTTAGGGTTTCTTTTAGGGTTAGGTATATGGATATGTTTAGAGTTAGTTTTAGAGTTAGGTTTAATATTAGGGTTAGGTTCAGGGTTTGAATTAGGGATAGAGTTAAAGTTAGTGTTAGGGTAGGGTTAGGGTTAGGGATAGTGTTTGGGTTAGGGTTAGGTTTAGGGTTAGGATTAGTGTTAGGGTTAGTTTTAGGGTGAGGGTTAGGGTTAGTGTTAGGTTTAGTGTTAGGGTAAGAGTTTGAGTTAGGGTAAGGGTTAGGGTAAGCCTGAGTGTTATGTTTAGACTTAGGATTAGTGTAAGGTTTAGGCTCAGGGTTAGGGTTAGTGTTAGGGTTATGATAGAGTTAGTGTTAGTGTTAGAGTTAGGTTTAGTGTTAAAGTTAGAATTAGGGTTAGGTTTTGGGTTAGTGTTAGTGTTAGATTTAAAGTTAGGGTTATGGTTGTGATTAAAATTAGGGTTAGGTTTAGGGTTAGAGTTAGTTTTAGGTTTCTGGTTAGGTTAAGTTTTAGGGTTAGGGTTAGTGTTAGGGTTAGGGTAAGTGTTATGTTTAGGGTTAGAATTAGGGTGAGAGGTAGTGTTACTTTAGGGTTAGGGTTAGTGTAAAGATTAGTTTTTAGGGTTAGAGTTAATGTTTGATTTAGAGTAGGTGTTAGGTTTAGGGTTAGGGTTAGTATTAGGGTTAGGATTAGGTTTAGGCCCAGTCTAAGGGTTAGGGTGAAGGTTAATGATACATTTAGGGTTTAGGTTAGGGTTAGAGTTAGTGTTCGGGTTAGGATAAGTTTTAGGTTTAGGATTACATTTAGTGTTAGGTTTAGTGTTAGGATTAGGTTTAGGGTTAGGTTTATGTTTAGGTTCAGAGTTAAGTTTAGGATTAGGGTT